GAGTAGGTAGAGGAGGAGGAGGAGGAGGAGGAGGAGGAGGAGGAGGAGGAGGAGGCGGAGGAGGAGGAGGAGGAGGAGGGGGCGGGGGCTGATGCCTCGCATCGGCGATACGTCGCCGACGGGCCAGCGCATGGGCTCCCAGCAGCGAGGCAACAAGATCCCAGCGAGGCTGGAGCACACACGGGGCCCGAGCGGCGGCGGAACGGCAACACGTGAGTTCCGTGATGGCTCATACCCCTTCCCTTTCATGTTGCAACATCCTTGGGGGACCAGCCACGCGCAGAGGGGGGGGCAGAGGGAGGGGGGAAGGCCTCTTAGAAGCACCCCTGCTTCTCAAAGGCGCGGGCCTCGTTTATAGAGGCAAGGCCGGCGCCTTCTGAGAAGCAGCCTCCTTCAAAGAAGCCTTTCCCCCCTCCCACGACCCACTTGTGCGCGACGCCAGGAGGACATCTTCGGGACCCGGGGTCAGCAAACCGGATTCGTGGCGAGAAGCTGACCCGAGGGGAACATGGCCACAATCTCCAGCATCCGCGGACTGCGTACCTCGGTCCAAACGATGCCGGGGAACGCCAGAGCGGAGTGCAAACACTCAGCTCGACAGAGGGGGACAAGGCGCGGGCATTCAGAGGCCTCCTGAGGCCGTACATGACAAAAACGAGTAACGCCCAACAAGAGCCTCGAACCCCGATCGCCGTCCGCACGAAGCGGAGCAGGGCAGAGAAGGAGCCACCAGGACTCCTGACCCTCCGCCGCCACACGCCAGCATCGCCGCTGGCAGCGTAGGTGAGAAGGGTTACAGTGGAGGCCAATCCACAAGAAACCTTCGACAACAAAAAAAACCCTGAGACCCCAGGAGGTCCATGGATTTTTGGTGTGGGAACGTCGCGCTTCCCATCGCAAAACCATCGGAACCCAAGAAACCCAGGGCAAACCTGGAGGCAAGACGGGTCTGGCTTGGCATGGGCACGCAATGTATCCCTCAACGTGGTTCCCTGGGTGCGGGGATGTCGCCACCGACCCTGCAGCTGGGAAGAAGAAGAAGCGCCCCGCCCCACCTCGAGCGATCCCCCCAAGAACTCCTTCGACACGGCAATAGTAGCTCCAGGCACTGTGACGGTCGGACACTTGTGGTTCGCGTGTCGCGGCGGTTGCCACGGCGCCACGCGATCGCTTGCCAGCGGAAAACGTCTCGCTCCGCTCCGCGGGGCGGGAGGCCCGGAAAGGCTCAGGACAATGACGCTTGGGGATGGGGGCATGGATAGCGTGTCGGCGTGGAGGGCCAGAGTTGGCGGCGCGACAATTTCATGCCAAAGCTACTGCCCGCAATCCGCGGGGACGTGGTCAGGACGTCCAGGAGCTGGCGGCTGGAACTTGTTGCGTCGGTGGCGAGGCAGGGGCCGTGTGCGCTAGCGGAAGGAGCTGAACGGGGGAGCAGCCGAAGCCTCCGAAGCGACTTGGCGGGAAACCTGGCAAGGACAGGCTGCCGCAGTTGGGAGAAGGGGCGAGGGCCACTCAGGGGCGGACGGGCCGCGTCCTCGTGGGCTGGCGCGGCCAGCTCCGCCGGCGGGGACTGCAGCAGCAGCCGGGCCGCTGCGCTGGTGCACCTGCAGAGGCGGGCCCAGCACGGGAACTGCAAGTAGGCGAGACAGCGAGTCGCCGACGTAGAGCACGAGGTGCAAGGCCGGCCGGCCGCGCGCCGCCCTGGTGGAGGCGTAATTAGGACAAGGTGCGGAAGGTTGGACCGCATCCAGCAACATGCTGGGTCAGCGTGGGGGAACACGCGACCAGACCAGGCCCCAAATCCCGAACGCGTGGCGGCTGCAGGAGGCAGCAGCCCAGGCGCCATGGCGCCATGGCGGCCTGCGGAGGCAGGGAGAACTGGCAGGGGAGGAGGGAGAACAGGGAGGAGGAGCGCCCCGCCTGCGGGAAACCCCGCTGGCGGAGCGGCAACGCCGGTGCTGCGCCGGCGGCAGAAGGCTGCATGCGGCGCGCGCAGCCCAGCGCGGCAGGGAGTCCCCGAGGCTGCGGCAGGGGCCGCGGCCCAGGGCACGGGCAATTCTTTTTGTTGTTCCCTACCTAGGATCTGCCCAGAAGGGTTCTTACTCTCTTGGCTTAAAGGGGCCGAGCAGTGGGCTCCGCCCCGGGCGGTTCCCCCAGGATCCGCCTCGCGGTTCCCCCAGTTACGTCCCCTTACCTTAGCGTTGCTTATCCCATCTTAGCCCCCTATTTCATCTTAGCTTAGCTTAGCTTAGCTTCATCTTAGCTCAGGTTTAGCTTAGCTTAGCTTACCTTCATCTTAGCTCCGCTGAGTTTTAGCATAGCAGAGCACAGCACAGCATAGCATAGCGTAGCATAGCATAGTGCAGCATCGCATATCATAGCATAGCCCAGCATATCATATCATAGCGCAGCATAGCATAGCATAGCATAACATAGCATAGCGCAGCACAGCACAGCACAGCATAGCACAGCGCAGCATAACATAGCATAGCATATAATAGCATAGCATAGCATGGCATAGCATAGCAACTAATGCTGCTTTCCCAGGGGCTCCAACTTCTAGGTCGGGTCGCACTGGGGTAATTTGTTTTCTTGTGTTTTTTCTTCGCAGTGCCCTCGGAAGGGCGCCCGGCCGGCAGCCGAGCCAGCGTCTGTTGCGCTGACGCAGGCGCAGTGCACGGTGAGTACATCCAGGCGGACCGTGGCGCACGAAGGGCGTGGGCCGCAGGGCGACTCAGCCCTCGAGGGGCGGCGCAGCGCCCGCGCCGGGAGTCCACCGAGCGTCCAGACGATGCTCCACCTGGCAGTTCCCCCTCAGCCGCGGCAGCGCCGGGGGGGCTCCACCGCTGGGGCGCGCGCCCTGCGCGGCCCGCCTCGCGCTGGGCTCGGCGGCGTCGGGGAGCGGCCGCAGCGCTCGCGCGTCAGGCGCGCCCAGCGGTGGCACCGCCTCGCCGAGGCGCCGCTCGGCGTCGCCGCTGCCGGCCCACTCGTCGCGTTGGAGGAGGGCCTGCTGCTCGACCAGCCGCTCGCGCAACTCGCGCCCGAATGGCGGCGGGTGGCCGCCGGGCGGCCCAGCGCCTCGCGGGGGGGCGCTCGGCGGCGCGCACCGGGCGGGCCTCGAGCTCCGCCCTCCGCTGGGGCTGGGGCAGCACCCGCGGCCGGCGCCTCCGCCAGGTCAAAGCTCAAAAGTCAAAGTCCTGCCAGGGTGGCCAGCGAGGGGCAGGACTACGTGCGATGCTCTCAGGGGCCGAAGTGCGCCTTCACCGCCCAGCGGACAGAGTCAGGAGCAGCGCCTTGCCATGTCTCCTCGCTGCCAGCTAGAGAATGATTGCCACTCCTGCGACCCACTTTCTTTGCAGAATCGGCTGACCGAGTCCTCGCAACGAATCCATCTTCGAGTGGATGGTCGCATGGCGAAAGGCGCAAGGGCGGCGCCCGCCGCGGCGGGTGGGCGCGCGCGGCCATCGGGCGCGCGAGCCTCGGCGTGGGCCGCGCGGGGGAGCAGGCGGCCGGAGCACAAGTGGGCCAAGGGGGAATCTGTGGCGCTCTCCCAAGTCCGGCAGGTTCCATGCATCTTCCCGCTCAGCCTCATCCACGTGTTCCGATGCTGTCCCGAATATAGCTCGCGAGGGCGCCGCTCGCATCGCGAACCACGTGGCAAGAGATCGCGACGCGGATCCGCCACCCGGATCGAATCTGGCAGTCTCCACGAATGGCGGGCGCCGCGGAAAATGTGGCAGTGCGAGCACATGAGCAGATTTTGCATGAGAGTAGGCGCCGGCCAGGTCTGACGACACTCACCTTAGTAGCTTCACTCACATCGGTAAAACGGTCCTCCTCCTCCTCCTCCTCCTCCTCCTCCTCCTCCTCCTCCTCCTCCTCCTCCTTCCTCCTCTCCTCCTCCTCCTCCTCCTCTCCTCCTCCTCCTCCTCTTCCTCCTCCTCCTCCTCCCTCCTCCTCCTCCTCCTCCTCCTCCTCCTCCTCCTCCTCCTCCTCCTCCTCCCCCCTCCTCCTCCTCCTCCTCCTCCCTCCGCCTCCTCCTCCTCCCCTCCTCCTCCTCCTCCTCCTCCTGCTCCACCTCCTCCTCCTCCTCCTCCTCCTCCTCCTCCTCTCCTCCTCCTCCTCCTCCTCCTCCCCCTCCTCCTCCCCCTACTCCTCCTCCTCTCCTCCCTCCTCCTCCCCCCCCTCCTCCTCCTCCTCCTCCTCCTCCTCCTCCTCCTCCTCCTCCTCCTCCTCCTGCTCCACCTCCTCCTCCTCCTCCTCCTCCTCCTCCTCCTCCTCCTCCTCCTGCTCATCATCATCATCATCATCATCATCATCATCATCATCATCATCATCATCATCATCATCATCATCATCATCATCATCATCATCACATCATCATCATCTCATCATCATCATCATCATCATCATCATCATCATCATCATCATCATCATCATCATCATCATCATCATCATCATCATCATCATCATCATCATCATCATCATCATCATCATCATCATCCTCATCCCCCCTCCTCTCCTCCTCCTCCTCCTCCTCCTCCTCCTCCTCCTCCTCCTCCGCCTCCGCCTCCGCCTCCGCCTCCGCCTCCGCCTCAGCCTCCGCCTCCGCCTCCGCCTCCTCCTCCTCCTCCTCCTCCTCCTCCTCCTCATCCTCCTCCCTCTCCTCCTGACGTCATTTCGCCTTCGCGCCTCCAGTGCGCTCCGCGTCCAGCGCCCGAACCCCGCTTCCTTCTGTTGAGGGGCAACGATCGGGGGGCATAGGCATAGGGGGGATGCATCGACCTGCAATCGGCGATACATCGTCGATAGATAGGCGATAGCCCCCCGATATTGAATCCGAACCTTCCTGGGCGGGGTGGGGCTATCGGGCCCCTTTCGGCGATCAATGGGCGACTGGGGGTCGATGCGTCCCCCCCCTATGCCTATCCCCCCCTATAATTGCCCCCGATCTGTCCCTTGCGCGTGCTCGCCGCGTCCGGGCGGGCCGGGTGCCGCACGGCGCGGGTGGCAAGCAGGACGGGCAGGTGCTTCACGAGGGCGTCGGAGAACACGTCGATGGGGCCGTCGGACTCCTGTGGAGCGGGACGAGCGCGCGAGAGGGCGAGGAGAACGAGGACACCGGAGGAAGAGAGGGCGAGGCGGTCATGGGGGAGGCAGAGAGGTTTTGGCACTCAGGAGATACGCATGAGGAGAGAGGTTGTGGGGAAGAAGAGCCAGGAGAGATGGGGACACCTGGCAGGCGAAAATGTGAGAGGAGGGGGCAAGTCAGTCACTGACTCAACATTACCCGTTTTCCCCCATCACTACTCGCACTGGCGCGTTAAAGCACCAAGCTGACACACATAACATGGTATCGTGGGCCACCCTGAGCTTCCACTGGCGAAGAGGGCAGCAGCACATTCGGCTGGCTCGCTGGCCAGGAGGTGAATCACGCGGTGTCTGCCAGGTCTTCCTGCGTTCTGGCCGAAACTGGCAGCCGTTTCAAACCAATTCCATCGCTGAGCCAAGGACGGATGCTGCCCCAGCTGCCCTCCCACACGACCCCCTCGTGCTGCGATCCCAGACCCCCGACGTCGTGATTTCTTCACAACGCCGTCCCCCTGAGGTCTGGACCCCTTCCCGGGGACCGGTTCTTCATCCTGAGTCGTGTTCTGCCGGCCCCGAGGCCCGGGAAGGGCTCCCCGGAGGCCGAACAAATTGCGACAGACCTCCCGTCGCAAGTCGTGTCGCAACGCGAGGAGGTCTGGGATCCCTCCTCCGACTCGCGCGCTCCTCCCCCTTCCCCTCTCCCGCCCTCGCGGCTGCGCCCGCGACCCTGCAGCGTCCCCAGGACGCTCGGACGGGCCGCCCAGGGAGGGCGGGCGCACGCACGCGCAGGGGGCGCATCGACGACCGCACCCGGGGCCCCACCCGCGGACGCGGCGACGAGGCGGCTGGCGAGATGTGCGACCCAAGCGAGGACGAGGCGGGGCGAGGGGCCGTGGGGGAGAAAGGCGGTCCCCCCCCCTCCTCTTCCTCCTCCTCCTCCTCCTCCTCCTCCTCCTCCTCCTCACCAGGAACGCCTATGTAAGTACGGCTTGCAAGGCGTGAGGCGGCTTGCGTGGTGCTTTCCATCTGCGTAAGTCCTAAGTAGCACAATCCTAGCACAATCCTCCTCCTCCTCCTCCTCCTCCTCCTCCTCCTCCTGCTCTTCCTGCTCCTCCTGCTGCTCCTCTTCATTTTCCTTCTCCTACTCCTCCTCTTCCTCCTCCTCCTCCTCCTCCTCCTCCTTCTCCTCCTCCTCCTCCCCCTCCTCCTCCTCCTCCCTCCCCCTACTCCTCCTCCTCCTCCTCCTCCTCCGCCTCGTCCTCCTCCGCCTCCTCCTCCTCCTCATCCTCCTCATCCTCCTCCTCCTCCTCGTACCTGTATATCGACTCACATCCTTCCTCCTACTCCACATATTGTCCCCTTGTTCCTCCTCTTCCCTCGGGGGCGTCCAGATGGGGGGGGAACGTCCAAGAGGGACGTGCAAATCGTGGCCCGAGGCGCGTTTGCCGCCCATGGGGGTCCAATGGACATGATGAAAGACAAACGGGGGGGAGGCCATGAAATCCGGAGAGATATCATGGCCCCCGCCAAGATATCCTCCTCCCCTAGTCAGTAACGCCCTCTTGGCCGCCGCCCAGTCGTTCCCCACTCGTCCCCCGATGTCTTCATATCTCTTCCCCCGTCCAGGGCAGTTTTCTAGTACATAGGATTTTTAAACATATAGGATGTTTAGCACATGACTAATGTATGAATAAGTTATGCATGAACTCATCGTCGTTGTTTAATCCTAAACCCATGCATGCTTATTACATGAGCCGCACGCGGAGCATGTATTAAAAACGGCAGTCCCCTCCCGATGCTGCCTCTGCTGCCGTTGCGCCTCAGGCTCTTCCTCCCCCCTGTTCCATCTCACCCCTCGCATTAGGTCGGGCGCGTCATCTTACAAAAGGAATTTTGACGACAAATAAAACAATCAAAACGATTCAGGCATAGCCCAAAAACAAAAAATCGTCACCATACTATGTTTGACTATTTGGGGATATTCCTCCTGCAGAGGGACAGGCCCGACTTCACGCTCGCACTGCGAGCGAGGCCGATGCAGCACGCACGTTGGTCATCAGTGTCCCTGCTGCGGTGAGTATAACCGCTGCTTATAACGTGTCGCGGCGGCGGCCCAAGCGCCATGCCACGCCGTGCTAGCGGACAGCCAAGAGGGCCCCAAGACGGCCCAGGAGGGCACCGAGACGGCCCCTGAGAGAGCCCCCAAGAGGCACAAAGAGGGCCCAAAGAGGCTTCCAAAAGGGCCCAAGAGGCCCCCCAAGAGAGCCCCAGGACGGCCAAAGCTCGGAACTCTCACGCTCGAGAATCGGGGCGTGGTGAGCGTGTTGCGTCGTAGCGTGGTGGGGCGGCGCGGCACGACCACCAAGACATCCCGAGAGTGCGTCTTGGTCGTCCAGGCATACATGCTATACCGACGATAAGCTGCTCACCAGAAGCATGTGACAAACACATAGGTATTCGCTCGACCATTTGTTGAGCGGGTGCAGCGTTACACGCGCCCACTGTAGCATGATCAGTGCCAGTATTTGAGTTGCAGGTGTTTGGGTCATCAAGTATGATATGACCATTCGGATTGCAGGTTTGGGCGGATGGTGACTTGGGCTTGGCCACAGTTTTAGTCGGGTGGGCCAGGACATTGCGGGTGCAGCTTGAGGCGGGGTGCAGCTTGAGGCGGTTTTGATGAAAGGCCACGCGAGTTGCAGCTTAGCGCGGGTGTGTACAATGATAATTGAGCTGCTGTTTTAAGCGGGTGGGCGAGCACATCTGGGGTGCAGCTAGCCGCGGGTGGATCCATGCCTTTGGGTTGCCAATGGAGTCCGCTCAACTACAAGTGGGTTCAGGCTTTAGGCGGGTTCATTTCTAATCGTGCTCATTTCTAACTGTGCTCGTTTCTAATTGTCCCTGGCCCCCTAGTGGCAAGAAAGAGGCCCAAGCTAGAACAATTAGAAATGAAAGGATCTTGGCCCCCAACAAAACTCAAACAAATTTCGAATAATAAGAAATTAACAATGGGCACCCCTGGGAAGGCTGCCCATCCTCATGCACCGTGCGGGTTGAGACTGCAGCTGCTAGGGCGGCCAGGCGAGGACTCTCCGGCGGGAGGCTGCAGGCGGCCGCGCGAGGCCGGCCAGACGAACACACTTGCCCGCGGATGCGAGGGGAGGCCGCTCGGACCGACTCCCGTTAGCTCCTGCGTCTGATCCTCCTGCTCCCCCCTGTGATCCGAGCGGCCGCGGAGAAGACAAGGGGAGCAGAGGAGGAGGAGGTGGGAAGGATGCATGAGAACGGCGGAGGGAGGGGGGCAGCGAGACTGCCTACGCTGCACGTGTGTGAATCCGCGTTTGGCTCGATCCCCGTCCCCAGGCCCCCGACGTCATGATTTTTCCGTGACGTCGACCCCCAAGGAGGTCTCGACCCATTCCCCGGGACCGGTGTTTCATCCCGAATCGTTTGGTTGCCGGTCCCGAGGCCCAGTATAAGGGCCCCCGAAGGCCGAAAATGGCGAGAAACCTCCCGTCGTGATTTGTTTCATTTCTAAAAAGAAGAGGAGGAAAGGAGGAGGGGGAAAAGGGGGACGAGAGGAGGAGGAGGAAGAGGAGGAGGAGGAGGAGGAGGAGGAGGAGGAGGAGGAGGAGGAGGAGGAGGAGGAGGAGGAGGAGGAGGATTTTTTTCCATTCCACACTGCCCAACAGGTGACCTGAGGGAACGCCGATGCCAAAATACAACTGAGGGGAGGCGAATCCCTCAGAGGGCGCTCATTGGCGCAAAGCCTACACTGGACGGCGTTGCGTCCAGTGCGGCGCCCTCCATCTTGCAATGAGCTGTGGAGGAGGGGGGCGGACAACGGTCAAGGTAGCTGGTACCCAGCAGCCCCCGTGCCAGTCGCCCCCCCAGGTACCCTCGGCCGACGGTCACCTGGCAGCCCATGGCTACCAGGCCGTCCACACGGGGTCCCGAAGGGAAAAGGTGGGGGGGGAGGGGGCGTCGCTGGCAGGGGGAACCACAAGGCTCGGGTTCTAGGGCAGGCTGCGTAACCTGCACCCCCCGCCGACCGCGCCGTGTACTCCCACAGGCAGCACCAGCACAACGGAGACAGAGAGGCCCGCAAGGACCACCCCATCCAAATGCGGGGGCTACCGTGCCCGCAAGAAACAAACGGCCAGCTAAAGTGCTAAAAGCAAGAGAAACCCCAAGGCTCGGGTTCAAGGCAGGCTGCGTAACCTGCGCCTCCGCTGATGGCACGAGACAGACAGAACCCGCGGCTCGGGTTCGGGCAGGCAGCGTAACTAGCAACACCCTGCACACGTGCAATGCACCTTCCCCCACAGTGGGGTGCCTGATACACGTGCAAGGGACACGCGCGCGACACACGATTGCTCATTGATACACCGAGACCACTCTCATCCCTGGTGTAGCGAACGCCAGGACGATGAACAGAAATCCCGATCAACCTAAGCACTGGTAAGCAGAAGCCTGGAAAAGGCAACTGTCGGGGCACAGATGCCCCCGTGCCAGGCTCCCGTCAGAACGAAGCACGCGTGCAGCGCACCTTCCCTCACAACTGGGGTGCCTGATGCACGTGCAGACGCGCGCGCACCCGCGCGCGCACAAACCAGAGGCGACGCCAGGGCGACTCGGCCGAACTACCCCTGGTGTAGCGAACGCTAGGACGATAGCCAGCTCCATCCCTGGTGTGGGCCAAACTCAAACGAAGAGCCAATGCCCCCGTGGTGGGCCCCCCAGAGGCGGCCCTGTGGCCAACTGGGCAGAGCGATCAAGGACCCACCTTCTTCCGCTCCAACGCAGGGGGTAGAGGCCACAAACAAATGAGCCTGTCAAGTGAAAGAAGCACACGTCACTGCCCAACAGGTGAACAGCGGGAAAAGAGAGAATAGAACAAGCAGTGATATTCACTCATCTATATCGGGCATAGGCTCGACCGTAACCCCTTTGAGCTTAGGGTGGTACCCACGCTTCATGA